TTCATGTACTTTTGCCGGTAGTAGCTCCGCAAATGCAAAGGGAAGTAGTCGCTGCATAAAGACATGACAATCATGGCTCTTCATCCCGAAGAACTTTTGCCCTTTCTCAACACATCTTGAGAGATTTGAAACATACCCATCATGGAACTTCACTTCTGAAGCCACCCAGTTGAACAACACAGACTTTTTTTCTGATGACAGTCTGAATATCGGAACTGGAACTTGCCCATTTCTTTTTATATGTAGCTCACTCCTTGTGCAGATATCGGGTAAGTCCAACCTCGATTTTACGTTGTCTTTCGTCTTCCCTGTGACATTCAATATAGTGTTCACAATGTTCTCAAAAAATTCTTCTCTATATGCATCACATCGAGGTTGTAGCGCAAAAGAAGATATTTCCAATATGGCAATTCCCAAAATATACTCTTTGTGTGCCAATTGTGCTAAACCATAAGAATCAGGCATATTACTGGGAACATGCCAATTCCCACCACGAGGAGATGTTTCTAAAGCACCGTAGTAATCGATTTGCGCTTCAATTTGTTCTCTAGTTAAATATGAAGGAGGAGTGTCTCTGACAACCCTTTTGTGCCTGAATAATTTCTTGTTTCTTAGGTATGGGTGGTAAACGGGAAAAAATCGGCAGTGACAATCGAACCAACTAGTCTTTCTACCATGCTTCAACTGAAACGCATATGTCATTCCATTCCAATATGTACAAGCTAATCTCCCATGTGTAGTCCACCCAGACAACATCTCATATGCAGGAAAGTCACTTATGGTCCAAAAAAGCATCGCTCGCATCGTAAAGTTTGTTTTCGTTGAACAATCATATGTCCACACCCCTGTTGACCACAAATCTTTCAACTCTTTTATCAGTGGTTGTAGAAAAACGTCGAGAGATTTTTTTGGATGCTTTGGACCAGGTATTAATATGGTCAAGAATAGAAACTCTCGTCGCATGCACATCTCCGGTGGCAGGTTGTACGGTGTAAGAAAGACCGGCCACAATGAATATTGTCTCCTAGATATTTCAAATGAACTAAATCCATCAGTGCATAATCCAAGATACACATTCCGGCTATTGCTAGCGAAATGTGGATGTACATCGTTAAAATGTTTCCAGGCTCTTGCATCTGATGGATGAGTCATCTCTCCATCCGTCTGAGTATGCTCGGCGTGCCATCTCATCCCTCCAGCAGTCTCCTCGGATTGGTACAATCTTTTCAATCTGTTTGTGATTGGTAGGTACCACATCCTTTGGTACGGTACCACATCCTTTGGTACGGTACCCTATTACGCCCTCGACCTTGCGGTTTGAATCATGGCTTCTTACAAAATCGACATTCTTCTAACTTTTCATCATCTCCCCAGTAAATCATGCAGTTGTCGATGCAAACGTCTATCATCTCTGAGGGCAACCTAGGACTATATACCAATTTCTGAATCTGATAATAAGATTCAGCAGACACATTGTCTTCTGTCAAATACTCTTTAAACAAGTCTGTCTATGCATCCCTACAATTTTCAGGTAGATTGTGATCGGTTTTAATACTCATAATTCTAGCAGCCAATGACAATTTAAACAAACCTTCTCTACAACCACTGTAAATTGGCTCATTCGCAGCTTCTAACATTTCATAAAAATTTTTTGTATCTAAGTTAGGTTCTTCAACTTCATCATCATCATGAGTTACAAATGCATCACCTACCTTATCATGAACCCTATCACAATCTACCATTTGTTCCTCTTGGTGATGATAGCTATTTTCATTACGCAAATGATCAACCGGTTCAACCTGAAAATTGCTATAACTACTGCTACCTTCATTCCTACAACTAGCATCTTCTCCATGTTGATACCAAATATAATAATATGGCATGAAACCTCTATTTATTAAATGCTTACAAACACTTTCATGAGGGCCTAATTTTGTATTGCAGCATTTCTGACAAGGACAGAACATCTTACCACTTTCCTGCGTGAGTGGTGTAGAATCTGCTTGATGCATAAACGTCTCCAACCCTTCGAGAAATTCTTTCGTCACTCTCCTGTTATTATCTCTGTGTGAATACATCCACTTACGCAACTCGAAAATATTTTCTAGACCGGACATTTTTTTTTCTTTGATCAAGGTTAAAGCTGATTTTTTTTTTTGTGTTTGAAATGAATCACAAATGGTGGTACTTATATAAATTTTTGAATCTGAGCATTTAATAGGAAATTGCTAGGAAAAGTAGGTACAAAACACGTTTTAGATTTAAATTAGATATATTCTGTCAAGTTCCTCGCTAATTTGAAGTAAAATATCATTTCCTCCTAATTTCGTAGTAAAGATTTACGAGGAAATTATTTACTACGAGCTTACGAGGAAATTATTTATTACGAGCTTAGGAGGAAATGGTCTTTTGCCACGTAGTTTCCTTGTAAGTTTACTACGGTCTTACGAGGAACATGGTCATAAAAAACGTTTGAATCAATTAGAGTAAGACAAAACCTGTTAGTATTTTTATGTGTATTAAAAAATTAGTTGCGAGAAAATAATATAATAGAGTGATTAACACTCTATTCATTATGTTAAAGAAGTATTTAATAAGTTAAATATTTTTAGTTAAATATCTTTAGTTAAAAGCAAAAATGAGTTTTTAATAATATTTATTTTAATAAGAAACAAATTTATTTTAAAATATAATTTATAAAATTTAAAAATCTTTAAATTAAATTAATCTAAATACAATGAGATTAGAAATTAAACTAAATAAAAATTATAAATTATTACTTTATAGTTTTTTAATAATTAAATTAAAACTAAAATGTAACAAAACTATGAAAAGATATATTTTTGAATAAAATAGTTTTTTTTTAAGTTAACATTTCTGCATAAGGCACAAGAAACCATCTATTACATTATAATAGAGACTAGAGTGTTTAACTCGCACATTTGTACGAGTGTTTTCTTAGATAATTTCACATTTACCATTCATTTGGTATCATTATTCATGTTTATTTTTTCTAAATAGACATTTTATTAAAATTCTAAACCATACCCTACAAAATTCCACTCCTCAAATCTAATTCCTAAGTTCAGATTAGTTAACTCAACAGATATAAATGTCTATTTACCTCTTTAACATTAAGAATAAATGTTGTTACGGTATAGATGAAAATACTATTTTAAAAAAATTTCTCATATTTTTTTTTCATTTTTCAAGTGTATGACTTTGATATTATAGTAAAGGTTTTAAATATAGAATTTACATTTAGTTATATATATTATGTAACTATATAATCTTCTTGTTAGGTTTTTTATTCGACATTATTAATTTACAATGAATTATTTTATCAGAAATTGATTAAACTACCACATTTCTGATACAATTTTTCACGTTATCATTTATCCCATTTACCATTAATTTTAAAGGGGTAAATAGACACTTATAACTTCATGGTTAACTAAACTAGATTGAAGATTTAAATTTGAGGAGTGACGTTTGGAGAGTGTGACACATAATTTTAATAAATATACAAACACATACTTAAAATTTAAAATAATTTCAAAAATAATTATTTAATTTAAAATAAAAAAATAAAAAATATTGTAAATAATTACAAAATTTAGAATTTGAAAATATATAATTTGAAAATATCATTTATTTAAATAATTATTTATATTTATATATCTATAAATCCTGTTTTTTGTCTCTTTACTCAAAAAACTATTTGTGAATATGTCGTTTTAATGAAGGTAAACATGAAGTGTGGTACAATTAAGATGGTAAACTTGAAATTCTCAATACATATTAATACTATTTTTAAATTTTGGTACAATGAATTCATTATCTGAAATAATCAAAAGATCATCTCCTACAAAATATGAAATTTCATTTCCTACAATGTTCATACAATACATTTAAAAAAAAAAATTATTTATACCATAGAAAATATATTTATGTAGGATAAATTATATTTTCGTGTTGTGTTTAAAAATGCACTTTATCATTTATCATTTTAGTACATTACATAATTTATAATAAAATACATTGTTATGTTTAAGTATTGTAAAAATACTGAAAATATTTTAATGATAGCTGTAAAAAGATATATTATCATTAATATATTTCTAGTTTGGAATATTTTATTTGAAAAAAAATTGTTCAAAACATATTTTCACAAAATGAATACTTATTATGATGCTATAGAATCTCGATTTTGAAAATATGATAGTTTACAAATTCGGGCGCCAGATTAGTTTCAGATCGGATATTTCAGATTTTTGGTTCAGAACTAAAGAAATTTGAACTATTTGTTTATTTTAAAATTCTATATTGGATACAGTTTGGTACCTCTCAAATCCGTTTGGATCGGCCATAACTTAAATCCAAAATATACAAAGTTTAATCGGGTTTGGTGCGTATATAAACAAAAATAAATCCAAAAATGAATATACCCGAAATATCGATTATGCATAGATTTAAACTCTATTAAAATACATGATTGAATAACACCCCTAAAACATATTTTCAAAAAATGAATACTTATTAAGATGCTATAGAATCTTGATTTTGAAAATATGATAGTTTAAAAATTCGGGCGCCATATTAGATTCAGATCGGATATTTCAGATTTTTGGTATTGCGGAACTAAAGAAATTTGAACTATTTGTTTATTTTAAAATTCTATATTGGATATGGTTTGGTACCTCTCAAATCCGTTTGGATCGGCCATAACTTATATCCAAAATATACAGAATTTAATCGGGTTTGGTGCGTAAATCAACAAAAATAAATCCAAAAAATGAATAAACCCGAAATATCGATTAGGCATATATTTAAACTCTATTAAAATACATGATTGAATTACACCCCTAAAACATATTTTCACAAATCAAAATGAATAATTCTTAATAATCTTAAAGAGACACCAAGTCAAACGAAACCAAATTACAAAAGAGACGTCTAGAAGAGACTAACACAGTCAAATACAAGAAAGACACAAAATATTAGCTGTCAGAACTAGAAGCATTGTTGTTGGGAGAAGCTTTACGGAGGAAAGAAGAACTTTTACTGAGTTCCCCTAGTGGTTTATCCGTAAATCTGATAAAGTTGTAAACAAAACCTCCGGCCACAATTCCGATGATAGGACCAACAATGTAAACCCAAATTCCTTTATAAACTCCCATCACAATTGCTGGTCCTAAACTTCTTGCTGGATTCATTGATGCTCCAGAAATCGGTCTACGAACATTCAAAACACTAAATTAATATTTAAGTTAATATATGAATTGTCTGTTGTAGTAGAATGAAAAGATAGTAGTTTTACCCGGCTACGAAGACGTTCAATATTATTGTCATCCCTACAGCAATTCCAGCTAATTCTCCGACCTGTCAAATATATCAAACACAACATTGGAATCTCCATTTTATTTGCCTACTAATATGAATAATATTTATGTATATGAAACACTAACCGCACGACTATCGGTGGCAACACCAGAGATAACNCTAGTAAGGATCCCGCAAGTTGTGCACCTATATACGATGGTACCTGCCCAAAGCATTGTATACAATCATATTAGTTAAAAGGGATAAAAACTATGCGACTTGTTTTGCAAAAATTCTTGACAAATGGAAATACAACACCTAGTGTCTGAAACAATCTATAATTCTTAATTATTCGCAGAGAGTAGATAAGTTACCTGATTTTATAAGTTTTAATTAAATATAGGTTTGTACAAAAAAAATAAAGTTTTGAGTAGATTTTTTTTTATGTGAGAAAAAGTAATCTGAATGTATTCTTGTTCAAAATATTGGAGATCAAAGAGATTTTATACATGCCAAACAGAAATCAATTGAAACCATCACAGAAGGATTGGATTAATTAGTCTAATGAGTTGGACTATGATTCGATGGAAGCGATGGTAAATAGGATAAGACTTTGCCGTTACGTGGAGATAGGTAAGAATTCGATAATATTGTTACTAATTGTTGCTCAAAAAATTATTTTTACTAATCATTCAATCAAATAATTAAGGAGTTCCACTTTGTCCTTGTTCTGTTACTCTACCGACCTGTTAAAAGCAATTTAGAAAATAGAGACAAAATTAAAGAGAAGCTATATATAGCAGAGGTGTCACAAATTGTTTGTGTCCAAACTTAACAAATTGTTTTTAGGAAACGAAGATTTCTAGCCCGTAGCAAATTTAAACACCATTTTCTAGCAGTATATTAGCGATTCTATTCTCACTAATATTCTAAAATTAAAGTGTGTCAAAAATCGCTTGTCAGTAGATGTTTGTAGTCAAGATTTAATTATTTTTGCTTATTCTTTTCTCATAACAATAATTGTAATCTCTTAACATTATTTGCAAAGTAATTTTATCAACTTCGCTTCTGTGTATTTTTTGAAAAAAAGTATTTAAGATTCATGTACTAATTGTGTGATCATACTTTTAGTGCCCTCAAGAAAACTTATACACATATATAACACATGAACTTTGAAATGCCATTATCCGAAAAAGCCATACGTCGATGGGTCGTAGGAGGAATTGATGATCTGGAAAATCCTAAAACGGTATTAATATCACTTTATGTTAATATAAAGAAAATGTGGTACCTTTCTGGATACAAATTTTAAAAAGTATGATTAGTGAAAAAAATGTATTTCATTGACAAATTTTGAAAAGGAGTCCGTTTTCATTAGAGAAAGATATCAATTTTTACATCTAGAACCAATAAAATATTAGCTCGTCGAATTATTGTTTTGGAGAGATGCTACGGAGAAAAGAAGCACTCTTTGTAAGTTCTCGAAGTGGCTTATCAGTAAACCTCATAAAGTTGTAAACAAAACCTCCTGCCATAACTCCGACGATGGGACCTACAATGTAAACCCATATGTCTTTGTAAACTCCCATCACAATTGCTGGTCCTAGACTTCTCGCTGGATTCATTGATGCTCCTGAAATCGGTCTATATCATTTCCAAACCCAGATTAGAAACATTTCCAACTCTATGCTATGCTGGTGGTAATCTGAAAACGTTATCTGAAATGTATTTTTACCCGGCCACAAATACATTTAACATTATAGTCATCCCTACCGCAATTCCAGCTAATTCTCCAATCTGTCGAAAATATTGATAACCGTCCAATAAGATGAGAACTTCCATTTGCATAGTTTTGTGATGAAACATGTCATAGTCTCTTAGATATGTTGGATAACAAGACGGATATAAGGTAACTTAAAAAAAAACTAACCGCGCGACTATCAGTTGAAACGCCGGAGATAACGAACATGAGAAGAAATGAGATAATGATCTCCGCAACGAGCGCTCGTGCAGCCGAATCAGTCGGAGTTGTTCCGAAGTAAGCTTCAGGTGTTACTTTGAACATTAGTCTTAATGTTAAACTAGCTAGTAACGATCCTGCAAGTTGTGAACCAATATACAATGGTACCTGCCCGAAACAAATTATACATATCATTTCCATCATTCAAATATTTAAACAAATTAGTATAGTTTAGGTTTCGAACAAAGAACCAATGGCATGGCTACATTTTTCAACTGAGCTGAAAAAGCTAGCAACTCTAAAACGTAGATTTCAATATAGTTTACCAACCCTGAGCAAAAAACACAATTGCATATTCTTTAACTAAAACTTTAAGAGCTTTCATAAAGATATGTTTTCTGGTGGTTGTTCTATTCTTGTCCAAACTATTTCGTATCCCCTATATATTAATTGAGAATCATTTAAAAAATTGTAACCTTAAGTTTGTAAGAATTAAAAATAACTTCAATCCTATATGGCATAGCTCTTTGGCTTCTATTTAAAATCCCAAAGATTTTAGAGCATGTGATATAATGTATAGTCTAAAAATTATACTTTCTAACAATATAATATTTTGTAGGTTATAGTTGGTCGCATATGTCAAATATTTATTGTTTCGCATGTTTTCCTTAAATAAAACCTACGAAATTACCTAATGTGATTAAAAAAAAAAAAAAAAATATATATATATATATATATATATATGAAAATTAATTATTTTAAACAATAAAGATTTGATAACAATCTATATACTTTTTCTCATTTTGTTTATTTCTTTATTATTTAAAAAATTACAAAATTACATTAATTATATAATAAAAAACTAGATTTTTTTTGTGTATGTTGTATTTCAAATTTTTCAAAATGACTATAAATTACTAAAATTGTTAAAAGTCTCACATAAACTCTTAGGATCATGGTTTTAATTTTTTTTCTATATTAAAATATAATGATTATAAGACCATATGAAGAAATAATTTTAGTTTATATATATTTCATATCGTTTTAATAAAACTATACATCGTATGAAAATACATACTTATATTTTGATAAATGCCTTGAACATATATTTAAAAGTTAATATTTAAACGTTGAAATATGTCATTTTTAAAAAAAATAATTATAAATTATTGAAACTACTAAACATCTCACATTAAAAAAATGCGTTGGTGTAAAGTTTTGTTACACAAATATGCAAATAATCATAAAATCATATGAGTAGAAACTTCATTTAATAAACATTTATATTAAAAGTGTGATATATTACTATGTTTATATCATTTAAATTTAATTATATATCATATACAATATATAATATTGATTATTTTGATTTATTTACCCTAATTGCGGATAAACATGAGTGATAGTTAAATTTATATGCATAAGCCAATTTATTACTCCCTCTCTTTCAGTTTAATTGTCATTCTAGGTTTTTGCACACAGATTAAGGAAACATTTAATTTTAAATATTTTCAATATAAAAACACAATTACCAATACACCTAACTACTTTTCAACCAATAGAAAAATAAATTATCATATAAACCTAATAAATTTTGTCTCGAAACTATAAAATGACACTTATTTTAAAACAATTTTTTTCCTCTAGAATGACATCTAATTCGAAACGGAGGGAGTACATAATAGTAACTGATTTCTTAGTTATTTAATATATATATATATATATTATTTTATTATTTTATAATATGTATAAAAATATAAAATAAATATAAATATAAAATACTTATTGTGCATAAATTGCAGATCTTAACCTAAGTATGTATATCTTTAATTGTTTTAAATCTTAAGTATTTTCTAAACCTCACGTCAAAACAAACAAACGAAATGAGAATAAACTTCAAAATAAATATTTATATCGAGTAATAACAAAAATATAAAAAAAAACACAACAAGAGAAAAAAATTGAAGATAAATAGGATTGACACGTGAACGTAAACTTCTCATAACCATAATTAATTTTTAAATTGTTAAATCATGATATAAAACTGAGTTAATTTTTAATTTGTTAATTTTTAAATTCTTTAATTTTTTAAATCATTATGGTTATGTTAAATCATGACCATAATTAATTTTAAATTGTTTATTTGTATTTGAAAAACTTAAAATATTTTTTTTAAAATAATTTAAAATTTAACTTAATTTTATATAAATTATTTCTAAATCTAATTTGTAAAAAAATCTAAATTTCTAATATTATTAGACAAATAAATAATTATTTTAAATTAGTTTTGAAACTTTACATATTTTAAATGCAAATATTTTACCAAGTGCTTCTTAAAAAACATTGGAGAACCTGCTAATACTCTACCAATCAAGTCCAATGACACTCAGTTTATTTTCTATCACTCGAAGACTGAAAAGTGAAAAGATATATGAAATCGGGTCCATTAAATTCTAAGATTTGATCTACAGTTCTAATTACAATTGTTTCTGATCCTATGTATTGATAATTATATAAAAATTCTAAAATTCTAAAACTTCAAATACATATAAAACAATCATATGTAAATTTTAAATTGTTAGTACTAAAATTTTATATTTTAGTAACATATATTCACCCTGCGCAAGGCGCAGGTCTTATCCAAGCTTTAGTAATAAAATAGCATTTTGATGTCAAAAGTGTACTTATTTTATTTGAAACTAACTTGTATTTCTTGTTATTATCTTAATGAACATTATTGAATTATCATTCCGTCGTAGTCTAGCTGGTTAGGATACTCGGCTCTCACCCGAGAGACCCGGGTTCGAATCCCGGCGACGGAGACCATTTTTTTCATCAAAAGAAAAATCAAAATTGTTCAGTGTTAATCACAAGATCAAATGATATTTTTTTATTGAGTAAACGCAGACTCTAAACCGGCTGCCTGGTCATCTCATTTTAATAAATATAACCAAAAATAACTAATGTCACTGCACTAATTACATAGCAAATGTATATCTACTAATCACTAGTACTGATTAGCTATTGTTATTTTGACTGTTCACATTTGATTTATGAAAGCATGAAAATGTTTTTTTTTTTTCAAGTTACATTTGTTTGCAGACGCATAATTTAGTGTTCAAAACACTCTAGATCTTATTCAAGAATGAGACAGAGGATAGGGACCTGATACCAGGGAAACCGGCGGAAGATAGCAAAAGTGAAGGTGACGGCAGGATTGAAATGTGCACCGGAGATGTGACCAGTAGAGTAAATCATAACCATAACAATGAGACCCCAAGTCACACATACCCCTGGGAACGTCACTGTTCCACCGTACAATACATTCACTACCACCACTCCACATCCAGAAAATATTACAAAATACGTCCCTATCATCTCGGCTATCAACTGTAATCAATTTTATAAAGCCTATAAATCAATTTGAACAAAATATCTGTTGCCATTGTAACGACGTAATACGTTTTGTTTTCCATTATTTTACCTTTTGCGTAAGGCAAACAATACTTGGAGAAGTACATATGACTGTCTCGATTCCTCCATGGCAATTTTTGGCTTGGCCTTTCTCAATTCTTGATAATTCTTCTTCTTCTTCGATTTCTTCACCATTGGAAGTCATTGTTTAGATAAATTTAAAATAAAGGTCAAATGGAGATTTTTTTATTTGAGAAAATGAAAATTTTAGTGACTGGAGAGTCTGGAGTTTAAAGAGTTTTAAACATGTGAAAGAGAATTAGCTGAAACAATCACAAACTGTTGGATAAAATCTCAAATGCTGGAATAATAGAGCTGTGATTGGATGTAATAGATGAAAAATAGGATCAGACTTGAACTAGTAGAAGAGGCTACAATTGCAATAAACGAGTTGCAAGTTTGTAGGAGTAATTATATTTCTTTACTACGTCGACCTGTTCAAAGGAAAACAACCTTTAATTATATACGTTGGCAACCTAAACTTTTGGGGTGTGTTGTTTGAGTTTGGGATTGCCTTTGAGTTATCAAAAATTAATGTATTTTAATTTTAAGTCAAATATCAAAATAAAATAATTTGGATAAGATTATATATGATAAAATAACTTCGGACTCTGATGTGAACGGAAACGAAAAAGAAGACGATTAAGAAACCAAACACTCGTAGTTTGGTGGTAAAGGAGGTATAGCTGTACTGTCCGCCATCTGGGTTCGAGTCTTGGCCACAACGGATTTAACATCCATTCCATTAGGGCGCTGGATTCCTTTCAGGGGATAGTTGAGAATGTGGCTGTCCAGATATTAGAGTTATCAAAAAAATAAAAAAAAATACGATTAAGAAGATCAAAGATATATTTGATCTTACTAGAAGGAATACAACCCTTGTAGTATGAGCTACATGCTTGTAGTTGGGGATGTTATATAGGGTTCAGAGATTTAGGATTATCCCAGACCATCAAAATAATTCACGATCCCTAACCTTAATGCATTACTCCTAAAATAGTTAGGGTCAACTTAGAGCTAGATTAAAGAATGATCTACACTAAAACAACCTATAACTAACCTAATCACCCTTAATCTCCCTAACCCATAAATTCAAAAGGTGATTTACTCACTAATCATCATGATTCTTAAACCCATGTTAGATTCAAGCTTAATCATGTAGATGATGAAATAGACAAGTAAACAAAGGTTTTTCAATTAATTTTCTTCAAGAACAAAGATAATCTGCCTGCTAGGCTACAAAAAGTACTTAAACTTAGGTTTAGGAAGTGTAAAAAATGAAACAAATGCCCAAAAGGTCCCTGAAATAACAAAAGTTTTCTACCAATCATAGACGCGAAGCAGGGTCACGACCCCACTGCGCAACCCCGCTGTGCGGTGTTTCCTTCACTTTCCCGTAAAGCCGAGCGGTCCCCTGACCCTGCTGCAAGGGTCCGCTGTGGTCTGGGCCGACCCCCTGACCCCGTTGCCTGACCCCGCTGCCTGACCCCGCTCCAGGATGGTCGAACATGGTGGATATGCCTCTAGTAAATTGGTCATAACTCCTTCATTACATCTTCAAACGACTTGAAACCACTTCCATTAGAAAGCTAACTCATTTTTCTGTGTATCCACAAAATATTAGCAACAGAAGATTTCTTTACAGGCTCCATCCATGCTCATCTTTCAGCCCTTTTTGGATCACAATGCTCCTAAACATCTCAAATCACTCTATGGCACACTCCAACACCTGATAAAGACTCATGTACGCAAAATGCAACCTAAAAATTACTAAATCCTAGTCTATTTGATCAAAATGCACATGGATGTAATGGGTGAAACAATGAAAATATGCAAGACATCACCATGTTAGATAAATATTTTTTTTTGTTTCTTTTAGTTAGGGTGGGACTTATTATCTGGGATTCGAATCCGATCCGAGATGCGCTCCGGATTCGCTCCGAAAATAGGATATCCAGGGTTGCTCAGATCCGAATCTGGATAGTAAAATCTCGAATCCGTCCAAACCGGATCTGAATCCGGATATCTTAATTTTAGGTCCGGATATCCAGATCCGGATCCGTCTTTTTAAATTATAATAAATTTTAAATTTTATTAATAATTATATTAATATTTCTACATATAATTAATCTTATAATATTAAATTTTACTTTTAATAATATTATGTCATATATATATATTCATAAATTTGGTATAAATATTTAATTTTTCTATTATTTTTAAATTTTATGTGTTTTTAAATAATTTTTATTTATTTTTAATTATTTTTACGAATCCGGATCAGAATCCGGATATCCGCGGATATTACAACTTCTAGACGGATATCCGAGACCCGGATACTCGGACGGCCCGAATCCGAATCCGGATACTAAAATTACGGATCCGACGAATCCGAATCTGGATTCGGATACTCCAAAATTCCCGGAAATCCGGATCCGTCCCAGCCCTACTTTTGGTAAACAACAATGATTCGGTGTAGGGTTAAAAACTTCCAAGATGGACTTTTCTTAGAAAAATAAAAATTGTAAAAAATGAAAAAAATCGTCAAAACAAAAAATCGTAAAATCGAGATTTCCCACAAAAACTGTAAAATCGAGATTTTCCCCAAAAACTAGATTTTCCGTCAGAACCACAAAATCGATATTTCCCGCAAAATCAAGTTTTTCTGTCAAAATCGTAAAAAATCAGATTTTCACCAAAATCGAAAAAAACGAGATCCTTCACCAAAACCGTAAAATTTAGTTTCTTTTTGCCAAAAGCATTAAATCGAGTTTAGGTTGAAAACAAGAAATATTTTAATCAAAAACCATTTTTCTCTGATTTTTATTAATATATGAGATAATATGTATTTTGTAAGAGATTATAAAAAATGTATTCACATAAAGCAAATAAAGGGCTTAAAAAGGGTTGAAAAGGGTTCAACCTTGTTTTACATATTATGATGGGTTCTAAAAGGGTTAGGGTTTATTTAGAACTCTATTTAAATTATATATGGTTGGGCTAGGTAACCTTATATAACATCCCTAGTTGTAGTGAAAGTAGTCCATAGCCATGTTCATTTTGGTAAAAACAGTGTTAGCGATTCCAAATTCTCACATCAACTGCTTTGTGTAAAACGACACGGACAATGATGAAGAGATAAAAAGTGTCACCGTAACAGTAAAAAGAGTCGCTGGTGTGAGTCGTAATTGCCACTAGAATTATAGCAATCAATTATCATCAGAAATTTGACGCTGCGTCTCATGTAATTAACACCGGCTTAGTAATTCTCTGCAATCTCTGCAAGACTAATAAATGTATATAAAGGGAATTTTAGGATCATGTCGATATTAGAATGGAGGAATACACATAGCAACAAACATGACTAAATATACTGTATATTTTGTGTAATTTTTTTTAAATTTCTTTCCTGGCCAATCATAAAGCAAGATTAGTTTATTTTTTATTTTTCTTCTTCTCCCCTCTGATTTTATTTGATATGTGAGGTTTCAATTAACTATAATTAGTTTGGTATTAATATTGTTCAAAAAGAAAATAAAAGTTTAGTATTAATAATAGAAAAAACATAATTTTTTCTACATCTTTAATAATAAAGTTGGTTTTTTTTTCTCTTATTGGGGGGAATTAATATACGTGTCCTCTTTTTTGGGCCATTTTGTATCATAGGCTTTCGTTTCAATGCTGCTTTGTTGAGTGAATTTATTGATTTTTTTACATTTAGGTGGCCCATCTGTGGTCTAGAGTTCTCCTGTCATCTTTTTTTTTTGTTTCTTCGCCGAAGACAGAATCTTTCTTTTACCCTCTGAGACGATATGGTCATACCCTGAGGCAACTCCGGTTGAGACTCCACCACTGTCTTAATTGCCATTTCAAACTTCTGCGAGATGTTAGCCATCAAATCTGATGTCTTTTTCTGCTTAGCGTTCTGAAAGAGCTAACGATTTTGTCTCTTCACATAGTTACATCCAGGCTCTGATTTAACGGATAGGTTTATAACATCCTGATGGAACACTTTTCCGACTAGAGTCTTCATGATTTACCGGATTGAGCGATAAAATCATGCTAAGTCAGATTCTAAGGGGCAGAAGGTTTGAGGTTAACTTTTTAGCCAAAGATGTGACCAGCGCAATGAACAACCATTAAGGTGAAAAGAGGAGAGAGCATTTTCCAGGCCATGGAAGGAAAGAGGTTTTAAACTTTCTTCAGGAGACAATGTCTAATCTAATTCCAAAGCATCAAGTACCATCCCAAACTCCTATGACTATGAGAAAACGTGTTGATGCTCTTACATATAAAGCTGAAGGGTATGTTGATCTGATTCTGACCCTAACGCCATATGTTCTAATGGTATACAGATGGTGTGTTTTCTAAGTCTAGAAACACTTTCCCTCAAGAAATAAAGGCGTCTTATTAAGTCTAGAGAGCAAAAGATAGATTGCAGTCCCAAATTCTGATACATGTTAAAATTTATGTCACACTACCTGATATAGAGGGTAGATAGATGATGACATGCTGAGATGTAGAAGTGTGTGTTTTTTAATTTTCCAGGAATTGTATGAGTCAAGGTACTTGAAAGGGACGCAGTTTAGAAAAATGGAGGATAAGAAGCAATATTTTGAAACAAGTGTTTTATGCGAGAAGCAGATATCAAAGTTGTAGAAAGAATGGACGGAAGCAACATTGAAAATGGGTGAGAAGTTAAATTGTTCAAAAAAAAACATTTATCTTGCTTCTTAACACTATTAAATATACCTATTTGTTTTTGCTCATTGTGTCTTTTAAACTATAAACAACAGAGTTCTTTATCAGCAGTGTCATAAGTGCCGTGGTAAGCCAAGCCATGTTGGCGGTAAGAGAAAAAAATCTACAACTGATACTTAACATTCCCATGGATGTTTGTGGTGACTAGACAAGATCCAACAAGTCAAGACAGAATTCCTGCTAAGTATTGTTCACTATCCACCCACTGAAGGCTTTTTGGAGCTCAATCTACACCCGGTTCTGAAACAAATGGGTTATACGTTCTCTGCTATCCACACATGGAGTTCATGTAACCTTTTGAAGCCTTGATGAATTTTTTTTTTTTTTTGATTTAGCAAACAATGAGCACTTGGATTCATTATGTCAATGTCGTTATGTTGTTTG